GGGGAGGGGCCTGGGGGATAACGTCACTCTACAGGCCCCTCCCCCCCCTCAAGAGTGGGGGGAGGGGTCTGGAGGATAACGTCACTCTACAGGCCCCTCCCCCTCCTCAAGAGTGGGGAGGGTTCTGGGGGATAACGTCACTCTACAGGCCCCTCCCCCTCAAGAGTGGGGGGGGGAGGGGCCTGGGGGATAACGTCACTCTAAAGGCCCCTCCCCCCACCCTCAAGAGGGGGGGGGGTCTGGGGGATAACGTCACTCTACAGGCCCCTCCCCCCCTCAAGAGTGGGCGGGGTCTGGGGGATGACATCACTCTACAGGCCCCTCCCCCTCAAGAGTGGGGGGGGGAGGGGTCTGGGGGATAACGTCACTCTACAGGCCCCTCCCCCCACCCTCAAGAGTGGGCGGGGGTCTGGGGGATAACGTCACTCTACAGGCCCCTCCCACCCTCAAGAGTGGGGAGGGGTCTGGGGGATGACGTCACTCTACAGGCCCCTTCCCCTCAAGAGTGGGGGGGAGGGGTCTGGGGGATAACGTCACTCTACAGGCCCCTCCCCCCCTCAAGAGTGGGCGGGGTCTGGGGTATGACATCACTCTACAGGCCCCTCCCCCTCAAGAGTGGGGGGGGGAGGGGTCTGGGGGATAACGTCACTCTACAGGCCCCTCCCCCCACCCTCAAGAGTGGGCGGGGGTCTGGGGGATGACGTCACTCTACAGGCCCCTCCCCCTCAAGAGTGGGGGGGAGGGGTCTGGGGGATAACGTCACTCTACAGGCCCCTCCCCCCCTCAAGAGTGGGGGGGGGGGGTCTGGGGGATGACGTCACTCTACAGGCCCCTCCCCCACCCCTAGATGGTTCCAGAACGTGGGGGCGGAGAGAACTGGAGGCCCTTGGCTGTGTCGATTCCGATCCTCCCTAGACCCCGACAGAGCCAGCAGGCCAGGCTGTCCCACCTGATGTTGTGTTGTGCCCGAAACGTCACGTGGTTTACTTTACTTTGTCTTCCGAACGAACGGAGGAGGAGTTTGGACTCCTGCGGTCAGTCACGAGGGCTTCAGGAGCACAGATTGACCCCACAGAGGTTGGTGACGAGTCACCAGGGCACGCAGTGACCAGGACACGTGACCAGGGCACGTCAGTAACTAGGACACGTGACCAGGGCACGCAGTGACCAGGGCACGTCAGTAACTAGGACACGTGACCAGGGCACGCAGTGACCAGGGCACGTCAGTAACTAGGACACGTGACCAGGGCACGCAGTGACCAGGGCACGTCAGTAACTAGGACACGTGACCAGGGCACGCAGTGACCAGGGCACGCAGTGACCAGGGCACGTCAGTAACTAGGACACGTGACCAGGGCACGCAGTGACCAGGGCACGTCAGTAACTAGGACACGTGACCAGGGCACGCAGTGACCAGGGCACGCAGTGACCAGGGCACGCAGTGACCAGGGCACGTCAGTAACTAGGACACGTGACCAGGGCACGCAGTGACCAGGGCACGTCAGTAACTAGGACACGTGACCAGGGCACGCAGTGACCAGGGCACGCAGTGACCAGGGCACGTCAGTAACTAGGACACGTGACCAGGGCACGCAGTGACCAGGGCACGTCAGTAACTAGGACACGTGACCAGGGCACGCAGTGACCAGGGCACGTCAGTAACTAGGACACGTGACCAGGGCACGCAGTGACCAGGGCACGCAGTGACCAGGGCACGTCAGTAACTAGGACACGTGACCAGGGCACGCAGTGACCTGGGCACGTGAGAAGGACACGTGACCAGGGCACGTGACCAGGACACGTGACCAGGGCACGCAGTGACCAGCACACGTGATCAGGGCACGTGACCAGGACACGTGACCAGGGCACGTGACCAGGAGACGTGAGAAGGACACGTGACCAGGACACGTGACCAGGGTACGTCAGTGACCAGGGCACGTGAGAAGGACACGTGACCAGGGCACGTGACCAGGACACGTGACCAGGGCACGCAGTGACCAGCACACGTGATCAGGGCACGTGACCAGGACACGTGACCAGGGCACGTGACCAGGAGACGTGAGAAGGACACGTGATCAGGGCACGTGACCAGGGCACGTGACGAGGACACGCAGTGACCAGGGCACGTGACGAGGACACGTGACAAGGACACGTGACGAGGACACGCAGTGACCAGGGCACGTGACCAGGGCACGTCAGTGACCAGGGCACGTGACCATGTCACGTGACCAGGACACGTGACCCAGGTCACGTGACCAGGTCACGTGACCCAGGGCACGTGGCTCCCGAGTGTGGCGGGTGCCGCACCCATTCTGATTCTGTGTCGTGAATTGTCAAATAAACAAGTTGCCTCTAAAGTCTCACTACAGCAGTTAGTGTGTAGTGTATAGTGTAGTGTATAGTAGTGTAGTGTACAGTGTAGTGTATAGTGTAGTGTGTAGTGTAGTGTGGTGTATAGTAGTGTAGTGTATAGTGTAGTGTATAGCAGTGTAGTGTATAGTGTAGTGTATAGTAGTGTAGTGTATAGTGTAGTGTATAGTGTAGTGTAGTGTATAGTGTAGTGTATAGTGTAGTGTATAGTAGTGTAGTGTATAGTGTAGTGTATAGTGTAGTGTAGTGTATAGTAGTGTATAGTGTAGTGTATAGTGTAGTGTATAGTAGTGTAGTGTATAGTGTAGTGTATAGTGTAGTGTATAGTGTAGTGTATAGTAGTGTAGTGTATAGTGTAGTGTATAGTGTAGTGTATAGTGTAGTGTATAGTGTAGTGTATAGTAGTGTATAGTGTAGTGTATAGTAGTGTAGTGTATAGTGTAGTGTATAGTGTAGTGTATAGTGTAGTGTATAGTGTAGTGTATAAAGTAGTGTAGTGTATAGTGTAGTGTATAGTGTAGTGTATAGTGTAGTGTATAGTGTAGTGGATAGTGTAGTGTATAGTAGTGTAGTGTATAGAAGTGTAGTGTATAGTAGTGTAGTGTGTAGTGTAGTGTGTAGTGTATAGTGTAGTGTATAGTGTAGTGTATAGTGTAGAGTAGTGTAGAGTATAGTGTAGTGTAGCGTAGTGTAGTGTGTAGTGTAGTGTAGTATAGTAGTGGTGTATAGTGTAGTGTATAGTAGTGTATAGTAGTGTAGTGTATAGTAGTGTAGTGTATAGTGTAGTGTATAGTGTAGTGTATAGTAGTGTATAGTAGTGTAGTGTATAGTAGTGTAGTGTATAGTGTAGTGTATAGTAGTGTAGTGTATAGTGTAGTGTATAGTAGTGTAGTGTATAGTGTAGTGTATAGTAGTGTAGTGTATAGTAGTGTAGTGTATAGTGTAGTGTATGGTAGTGTAGTGTATAGTAGTGTAGTGTATAGTTGTGTAGTGTATAGTGTAGTGTATAGTAGTGTAGTGTGTAGTGTAGTGTGTAGTGTAGTGTATAGTAGTGTAGTGTATAGTGTAGTGTATAGTGTAGTGTGTAATGTGTATAGTGTAGTGTATAGTAGTGTAGTGTATAGTGTAGTGTATAGTGTAGTGTATAGTAGTGTAGTGTATAGTGTAGTGTGTAGTGTAGTGTATAGTAGTGTAGTGTATAGTAGTGTAGTGTATAGTGTAGTGCATAGTGTAGTGTATAGTATATAGTAGTGTAGTGTATAGTGTATAGTAGTGTAGTGTATAGTGTAGTGTATAGTAGTGTAGTGTATAGTAGTGGAGTGTATAATAGTGTAGTGTATAGTGTAGTGTATAGTAGTGCAGTGTATAGTAGTGCAGTGTATAGTAGTGTATAGTGTAGTATATAGTAGTGTAGTGTATAGTGTAGTGTATAGTAGTGTAGTGTATAGTAGTGGAGTGTATAATAGTGTAGTGTATGGTGTAGTGTATAGTATTGTAGTGTATAGTGGAGTGTAGTGTGTAGTGTAGTATACAGTGTAGTGTATAGTGTAGTGTGTAGTGTAGTGTATAATAGTGTAGTGTATATTGTAGTGTATAGTAGTGCAGGGTATAGTAGTGTAGTGTATAGTAGTGTAGTGTATAGTAGTGTAGTGTATAGTAGTGTAGTGTATAGTGTAGTGTATAGTAGTGTAGTGTATAGTAGTGCAGGGTATAGTAGTGTAGTGTATAGTGTAGTGTATAGTAGTGTAGTGTATAGTAGTGGAGTGTATAATAGTGTAGTGTATAGTGTAGTGTATAGTAGTGGAGTGTATAATAGTGTAGTGTATAGTGTAGTGTATAGTAGTGGAGTGTATAATAGTGTAGTGTATATTGTAGTGTATAGTAGTGTAGTGTATAGTAGTGTAGTGTATAGTAGTGTAGTGTATAGTAGTGTAGTGTATAGTAGTGTACTGTATAGTGTAGTGTATAGTAGTGTATAGTGTAGTTTATAGTAGTGTAGTGTATAATGTAGTGTATAGTGTAGTGTATAGTGTAGTGTATAGTATTGTATAGTAGTGTAGTGTATAGTGTAGTGTATAGTAGTGTAGTGTCTAGTAGTGTAGTGTATAGTAGTGTAGTGTATAGTAGTGTAGTGTCTAGTAGTGTAGTGTATAGTGTAGTGTATAGTAGTGTAGTGTATAGTAGTGTAGTGTATAGTAGTGTAGTGTATAGTGTAGTGTATAGTGTAGTGTATAGTGTAGTTTATAGTAGTGTAGTGTATAATGTAGTGTATAGTGTAGTGTATAGTAGTGGAGTGTATAGTGTAGTGTATATAGTATTCTATAGTAATGTAGTGTATAGTTTAATGTATAGTAGTGTGGTGTGTAGTAGTGTAGTGTATAGTAGTGTAGTTTATAGTAGTGTAGTGTATAGTAGTGTAGTGCATAGTGTGTAGTGTATAGTGTATTGTATAGTAATATAGTGTATAGTTTAATGTATGGTAGTGTGGTGTATAGTAGTGTAGTGTATAGTGTAGTGTATAGTGTAGTGTATAGTAGTGTAGTGTATATTGTAGTGTATAGTAGTGCAGTGTATAGTGTAGTGTATAGTAGTGTAGTATATAGTGTATTGTATGGTAATGCAATGTATAGTTTAATGTATAGTAGTGTGGTGTTCAGTCGCGTATAACAGTGTTAGTGTCGAGTGTAATATGAATGTTCGAACCACCATTCGCTGTCATTAATCACCGTCATCACCATCATCACGTACACCACCACTGTCAATAAGAACGTGACACCACTATCATTAAGAACACTACCACCACCACCACTATCATTAAGATGTAGCTCCCCTCCCCCTTCCACTCGTCCCTCCCCCCTGGTCTACCTATAGAGGTGTCTGAATCGCGGGATGAGGAGGCAGTGTGACATCGACTCAAGGCTGTCACCTGAATCGTGAAGATGGCTCAGACAGACATCCTGGTTTTCGCCTTGGTGTGCCTACTCGCAGCTGGTGAGTTGTACACTGACTCAGTCATTCACTCGGTCAGTCACTCAGTCAGTCACTCAGTCAGTCACTGAGTCGCTCAGTCAGTCACTCAGTCAGTCACTCAGTCACTCACTCAGTCATTCACTCAGTCACTCACTCAGTCACTCGGTCAGTCACTCAGTCATTCACTCAGTCGCTCACTCAGTCACTCAGTCACTCAGTCACTCACTCAGTCACTCAGTCACTCAGTCACTCACTCAGTCACTGAGTCGCTCAGTCTGTCAGTCACTCAGTCACTCACTCACTCAGTCGCTCAGTCACTCAGTCAGTCACTCAGTCAGTCACTCAGTCACTCACTCAATCAGTCGTTCAGTCACTCACTCAGTCACTCACTCAGTCACTCAGTCACTGAGTCGCTCAGTCACTCACTCAGTCACTCAGTCGCTCAGTCACTCACTCAGTCACTGAGTCGCTCAGTCACTCACTCACTCACTCAATCAGCCACTCAGTCACTTATTCAGCCACTCAGTCACTCACTCAGTCAGACAGTCCCTCAGTCAGTCAGTCACTCAGTCGCACAGTCACTCACTCAGTCACTGAGTGAGTGAGTGACTGAGTGAGTTACTGAGCGAGTGAGTGACTGAGTGAGTGAGTGACTGAGGGACTGAGTGAGTGACTGAGTGACTGAGTGAGTGACTGAGTGGGTTACTGTGAGGGAGTGACTGAGTGAGTGACTGAGTGAGTGAGTGACTGAGTAAGTGACTGAGTGAGTGACTGAGTGAGTGACTGAGTGACTGTGTGAGTGACTGAGTGACTGAATTACTGAGTGAGTGACTGAGTGACTGAGTTACTGAGTGAGGGAGTGACTGAGTGAGTGACTGAGTGAGTTACTGAGTGACTGAGTGACTGAGTTACTGAGTGAGTGAGTGACTGAATGAGTGAGTGACTGAGCGAGTGACTGAGTGACTGTGTGATTGACTGAATGACTGAGTGACTGAGTGAGTGACTGAGTGACTGATTGAGTGAGTGACTGAGTGAGTGAGTGACTGAGTGACTGTGTGTGTGACTGAATGAGTGAGTGACTGAGTGAGTGACTGAGTGATTGTGTGAGTGACTGAATGAGTGAGTGACTGACTGAGTGACTGAGTGAGTGACTGTGTGAGTGACTGAATGAGTGAGTGACTGAGTGAGTGACTGAGTGACTGATTGAGTGAGTGAGTGACTGAGTGAGTGAGTTACTGAGTGAGTGACTGAGTGAGTGAGTGACTGAGTGACTGAGTTACTGAGTGAGTGACTGAGTGAGTGAGTGACTGAGTGAGTGAGTGAGTTACTGAGTGAGTGACTGAGTGAGTGAGTGACTGTGTGAGTGACTGAATGAGTGAGTGACTGAGTGAGTGACTGAGTGACTGATTGAGTGAGTGACTGAGTGAGTGACTGAGTGAGTGAGTGACTGAGTGACTGAGTGAGTGAGTGAGTTACTGAGTGAGTGAGTGACTGAGTGACTGTGTGAGTGACTGAATGAGTGAGTGACTGAGTGAGTGACTGATTGAGTGAGTGACTGAGTGAGTGACTGAGTGAGTGACTGAGTGACTGAGTGAGTGACTGAGTGACTGAGTGACTGAGTGAGTGACTGAGTGAGTGAGTGAGTGAGTGAGTGACTGAGTGACTGATTGAGTGAGTGACTGAGTGAGTGACTGAGTGAGTGAGTTACTGAGTGAGTGACTGAGTGAGTGACTGAGTGAGTGAGTGACTGAGTGACTGAGTTTTTGAGTGAGTGACTGAGTGAGTGAGTGACTGAGTGACTGTGTGAGTGACTGAATGAGTGAGTGACTGAGTGAGTGACTGAGTGACTGATTGAGTGAGTTACTGAGTGAGTGACTGAGTGAGTGAGTGACTGAGTGACTGTGTGAGTGACTGAATGAGTGAGTGACTGAGTGAGTGAGTGAGTTACTGAGTGACTGAGTGAGTGACTGAGTGACTGAGTGAGTGACTGACTGAGTGACTGATTGAGTGAGTGAGTGACTGAGTGAGTGAGTGACTGAGTGACTGAGTGACTGATTGAGTGAGTGACTGAGTGAGTGACTGAGTGAGTGAGTTACTGAGTGACTGAGTGAGTGAGTGAGTTACTGAGTGAGTGACTGATTGAGTGAGTTACTGAGTGAGTGACTGATTGAGTGAGTGAGTGACTGAGTGAGTGAGTGACTGAGTGACTGAGTGAGTGAGATACTGAGTGAGTGACTGAGTGAGTGAGTGACTGAGTGACCGAGTGGATTACTGTAAGTTTGTGAGCTATTTACGGGCTACCTTTGTCTGTGGAATTTCCGTCAACTTTATGATGTTATCTGCCTCGTCTCGGATGCGGGAAGGACATTGGAGGTCGTGGGTTCAATCTCAGACACTGAGAGATGTTGACTACCTCGCCTGGTCTACAGGAGGTCGTGGGTTTAATCTCAGACACTTTGAGATGTTGACTACCTCGCCTGGTCTACAGGAGGTCGTGGGTTTAATCTCAGACACTTTGAGATGTTGACTACCTCGCCTGGTATACAGGAGGTCGTGGGTTTAATCTTAGACACTTTGAGATGTTGACTACCTCGCCTGGTCTACAGGAGGTCGTGGGTTTAATCTCAGACACTTTGAGATGTTGACTACCTCGCCTGGCCTGCAGGAGGTCGTGGGTTCAATCTCAGACACTTTGAGATGTTGACTACCTCGCCTGGTCTACAGGAGATCTTGGGTTCAATCTCAGACACTGAGAGATGTTGACTACCTCGCCTGGTCGACAGGAGGTCGTGGGTTCAATCTCAGACACTTTGAGATGTTGACTACCTCGCCTGGTATACAGGAGATCTTGGGTTCAATCTCAGACACTGAGAGATGTTGACTACCTCGCCTGGTCTACAGGAGGTCGTGGGTTCAATCTCAGACACTGAGAGATGTTGACTACCTCACCTGGCATACAGGAGGACGTGTGTTCAATCTCAGACACTTTGAGATGTTGACTACCTCACCTGGTATACAGGAGGTCGTGGGTTCAATCTCAGACACTTTGAGATGTTGACTACCTCGCCTGGTCTACAGGAGGTCGTGGGTTCAATCTCAGACACTGAGAGATGTTGACTACCTCGCCTGGTCGAAAGGAGGTCGTGGGTTTAATCTCAGACACTTTGAGATGTTGACTACCTCGCCTGGTCTACAGGAGATCGTGGGTTCAATCTCAGACACTGAGAGATGTTGACTACCTCGCCTGGTCTACAGGAGGTCGTGGGTTCAATCTCAGACACTTTGAGATGTTGACTACCTCGCCTGGTATACAGGAGGTCGTGGGTTCAATCTCAGACACTTTGAGATGTTGACTACCTCACCTGGTATACAGGAGGTCGTGGGTTCAATCTCAGACACTGAGAGATGTTGACTACCTCACCTGGCCTGCAGGAGGTCGTGGGTTTAATCTCAGACACTTTGAGATGTTGACTACCTCACCTGGCCTGCAGGAGGTCGTGGGTTCAATCTCAGACACTGAGAGATGTTGACTACCTCACCTGGTCTACAGGAGGTCGTGGGTTCCATCCCAGACCCTGAGAGATGTTGACTACCTGGCCTGATATACAGGAGGTCGTGGGTTCGTTCACCAGACCCTGAGAGATGTTGACTACCTCGCCTGCTATACAAGAGGTCGTGGGTTTGATGCTGGACTCTGTGAGATGTTGACTACCACGCCTGGTCTACAGGAAGTCGTGGGTTCAATCCTGGACCCTATGAGATATTAGCTACCTCGCCTGGTCTACAGAAGGTCGTGGGTTCAATCTCAGACACTGAGAGATGTTGACTACCTCGCCTGGTCTACAGGAGGTCGTGGGTTATATCTCAGACACTGAGAGATGTTGACTACCTCGCCTGGTATACAGGAGGTCGTGTGTTCGATCCCAGACCCTGCGAGATGTTGACTGCCTCGCCTGTTATAGAGGAGGTCGTGGGTTCAATCCCGGACGCTGTGAGATGTTGACTACCTCGCCTGGTATACAGGAGGTCGTGGGATCGATCCCAGACCCTGCGAGATGTTGACTATCTCGCCTGGTATAAGGAGGTCGTGGGTTCGATCCCAGAACCTGGGAGATGTTAATTACCTCGCCTGGTCTACAGGAGGTCGTGGGTTCAATCCCGGACCCTGTGAGATGTTGACTACCTCGCTAGGTATACAGGAGGCCGTGGGTTCGATCCCAGACCCCGGGAGATGTTGACTACCTCGCCTGGTCTACAGGAGGTCGTGGGTTCGATCCTAGACCCTGAGAGATGTTAATTACCTCGACTGGTCTACAGGAGGTCGTGGGTTCGATCCCAGACCCTGGGAGATGTTGACTACCTCGCCTGGTCTACAGGAGGTCGTGGGTTCGATCCTAGACCCTGAGAGATGTTGACTACCTCGCCTGTTGTACAGGAGGTTGTGGGTTCGAGCTGTATCTCTATGGGTCTCTATGCGTATGGGTTTCTGTGTATCTCTATGGGTCTCTATGAGTATGGGTCTCTGTGTATCTCTATGGGTCTCTATGAGGCTGGGTCTCAGTGTATCTCTGTGGGTCTCTAATAGTATCGGTCTCTGTGTATCTCTATGGGTCTCTATGTGTCTATTGTAGGTTACTGTATATCTCTGTGGGTCTCTGTGGATCGCACCCACACAGACACACAGAGACTCACAGAGACGCACAGAGACTCACACAGAGCCTCACAGAAACTTACAGAGACACACAGAGACCCACAGAGACTCACAGAGACCCACAGAGACCCACAGAGACTCACACACACACACAGAGACCCACAGAGACTCACAAAGACACTCACAGAGACACTCACAGAGACACTCAGAGACACTCACAGAGACTCAGAGACTCACAGAAGCTCACAGAGACTCGCAGAGACACTCACAGAGATGCACAAAGACTCACACAGAGACTCACAGAGACTCAAAGAGACTCACAGAGAGACACACAGAGACTCACAGAGACCCACAGCGACTCACAGAGACT